ATGTCACTTCTACCCTGATGAAACTAGACGCATATTTGCGTGTACGCAGACGCATTTAACGGAAAAATCTGGGCACAGGCTTTAACATTTGCAAAGGATATAAAAAAATGTCATCCCCTCAGCCCGCTTTGTACATCCACGTGCTTTTCAACTAGTTCTTTAAGCCTGTACCTTGATATGTTAAGTCTTACTGATACAGATTTTTTAATATAATATAAAGTAATTATATAGAATGTCCTAGGCTGTTAAGCATACCTTTGTAAGTGGAGCTATGTCAAACTCAAGTTGTTGTTGTCACTCGATAAGCTGTCAAAAAAGCTGTGTTGCAGACTACAAGTGACTACTATGCTACCTGTCTCTAAAAGAATAACCTTTCTAGCAACGAAAAGGAGTGTTTTTCCAAAATGGAAACCCTTATTTAAAGTTAGTAACTTTTATATTTTGCAGTAAGGAGGTCACCAAGCCACGAAACAAAACCAAAGAATTTCTGTTCAACCTTATTTTCTTCCTTATCCTTCCTTTCTTACCGCTTTTTAAACTTGGTAGAAAGATCATAAAATGTTGTAAAAAGGATTCTAATGCAAAGAAAGAACAAGGAAAACAAGACGAAAGTGAAGAAGACGGAAAAGTGAAAGGACCAGATGTGGACATCTTTAAAGGAGACATCATGAAAGATGCAAGTCTGCGCGCGGAGAGTAGTCAAAGCGTGAAACTTTCCGGTGAAAAAGCGGGGGTTTCGCGAGAAAGCAAAGAGAACGTAACCACGATCAAGCAAAGCCGCACAAATAGCTTAGTGATCAAAACGAGCGAGCATGGTGAAGAAAATAACATTGCAACTGGCGGAGGTTCCCAAGGAACCAAGCGCAAAATTAGCGCACAAGGGAGTAGGCGAGCGAGTAAGGAGCACGTGACTGAACCTCTAACAAACAAACTTACCAGTAAAGGAAAGGAGGAAGATACGGGAACTTCACACGTGACTGAACCGTCAGCAGACAAACCTACCAGTGAAGGAAAGGAGCAAGATATGGGAACTTCCCACGTGACTGAACCGCTAGCAGACAAACCTACCAGTAAAGGAAAGCAGCAAGATACGGAAACTTCACACGAGACTGAACCGTCAGCAGACGAACCTACCAGCAAAAGAAAGGAGCAAGATACGGAAACTTCACAAGTGACTAAACCGTCAGCAGACAAACTCACCAGCAAAGGAAAGGAACAAGATGCGGGAATTTCACACCAATCTAACAAACTGACTGTGAAGAAAACTGAACCCTCAGAGCCACAGGTAAGAGATAATTATGTCGGTGTCTTGGAGACTGAACGAAATTTGCTGAAATTACTTACTATTAAATTATACTTCATTCTTCGGTCGTTAGAGATGAATGGAAATTGGGGTAGATAAACAATTTCGAAGTCCTTGGTACTTCGTATTGCTCTTTTAGCCGGAAAAATTGATGGTTTTTCTTTCCGGCAAAAGCCCTATCATTTATGGGACCCCTTCCCCCCACCCCTCCACACTTCGCCCCATTTTCCAATAACTTACTCCGGATTTTGAGGGACTCATGACTAAGAAATCATTATACAGTTTATTCAAAATTCACACCCCCCTTGTTTCATTCAGGTTCCAGAAGATATCAGACAGCTCACAGAGGCTAATCCGTTAATTTATCACAATTACTTCGATACAGACGCTGTTGCTGATGAACTTGAGGTACGGCCTGTCTCACAGTACGAACGACTCCTCGTGGAGGCTATATAATAGTAGCTAGAGTGACGTACCTCCTGTTTTACACATAAATTCAATTTCTTGTTTTGTTTGTTTGGGCTTGTTTGTATTTATTGTTTTTCAATTGGCCTGTGAACGTTCACCCTGTCTACGAAGGGCGTTTGAAACATTAATGATGTCAACGATTTGTAAGACTCTACTCACATAATTATGTGCCTATCCTACCTCTGACCTCTGTGTCGCCGCTCAGTTTGTAGAACAGTTACAAAAGTGGAACTTGATCTGATTCGAATATCCAAGGAAACTCGGATTTCCCACACTCGTTAAAGTATTCAAACACCTTTAATTATAGTTCATTTCAAATTACACCTCAGATTGCTCCCCCGGAATTAATCTCCACTCTCAGTAGGTTCTTCTTCTCCAGTTACTCACAATTATAACAGTCACAGATCAGAGTTACATAAACAAGTGACTTTCGTAATCTCAAACCGGCAGCCGGGGGTCCAGCCGGGGGTCCAGCCGGGGATCCAGCCGGGGGTCCAGCCGGGGGTCCAGCCGGGGGTCCAGCCGGGGGTCCAGCCGGGGGTCCAGCCGGGGGTCCAGCCGGGGGTCCAGCCGGGGGTCCAGCCGGGGGTCCAGCCGGGGGTCCAGCCGGGGGTCCAGCCGGGGGTCCAGCCGGGGGTCCAGCCGGGGGTCCAGCCGGGGGTCCAGCCGGGGGTCCAGCCGGGGGTCCAGCCGGGGGTCCAGCCGGGGGTCCAGCCGGGGGTCCAGCCGGGGGTCCAGCCGGGGGTCCAGCCGGGGGTCCAGCCGGGGGTCCAGCCGGGGGTCCAGCCGGGGGTCCAGCCGGGGGTCCAGCCGG